GACTTGACGATCACAAAATTTGTCGCATCACTACGAGATCCGACTGGTCAAATCCATGAGGATGAAGTGGATAAAGGGGTGGAGGCAGTTCACTACTCTGAACTCTTTTCATCCCAAATAGCGGCCTCCGATGTTGATCAAGGTGTGGATGGTCTCCCCAGCAGAAGCCTTAAACAATCAAAACCGAAAGCAGGGACAGAGAGGCTACAACTCTCAATCCCCCATACCCTTTTCCACTACTTTTCAAAACCAAAATGGCATATCCATTATTCTACAATCAAAATATTAGAGACAAACATTCCATTTTGAAAATATACCTTCATTCGACGAAGCAAAATGAAATCTTGGATCATTACAAGAACATAAGGTTCGTGAGGAAAAGCAAAAACTCTAAACCTTAATATGAAGTGTATCATTATTCAATATTAAATATTCATTCATCAATCATTCAATCTTAATCCCAAGGAGCCTCGAAAAAACTCAACCCACTAAAGTCCAAACGAGAGAGGGCAAGACGAGTGAGTGTGAGATGGCAGCAAGGACGGTAGTGGCCACCAACGACGACTATGGAGAGGACGACAATGGAGGCGAGAACTATGGGGCTGGTGTGATGCTGGTGACGACGGGGCTGGTGCGATGTTGGTGATGACGACTGCAGTCGGCTGAAGAAGAGGGAGAGCTTCGACGGCTGCTGGAGAGAAGGGAGAGTTGCGCCTGCTAGTCTCTACCAGATCAGAAAAATGAAAGGGGATTAGGTTTTGGGCCATCCCATAAATAATTTTTCTTATCTTCTCCTATTATGGGCGTCGTCCAACAGTGGGGAATCACGCCTCCGAGCACCTAATCGCCGACTAGGCATTTTCCCATGCCATTCCGCGTTTTGCATGCCTACACCAATCGCCCAAGGCTAGTCTCCACAATTTCCCCTTGCCCAACAACTAATCAGGCCTAGGAGGGCGCCTAGTGACGCCTTCTTGAACACTGATGAATATGAAACTTTGGGTATTCTAAAAGTTGCATACCATATTATTCATGTCAAGTTGAAGTTCAAGTAAGTCTATGGCAAGACAACGGTGACTAATTGCGACAGCTTGTGTAAATGTGAGCTCACCAATTAAGTGGTGTCGATTAATGGTACTGCGAAATAGAAGCAAGTGTAGGTTGTTACTACGTAACTAAGAATATTTACCATGGTGACTAAGAGATTTTGTTATTTAATTCAACTAACCGGTGTAAAAGAGAATTAATTGAAGGGCAATGCAAGTCAAGAAAGGTTTTGGTTGCATGAGAGGTAGTGAGCACATACTCGCCTACCAAGCAACAAAACCAATGATCATAATTCCTCACAAGTGAGTTGCTGATGAAATTCATTATACAACTACCAAAGAATTGTGAAACATGGAACCACAAAAAGACACATCATTCCAAATAAATTCATAAAAATAACAGTACATTCCCCGAGAGATGTGTAGCAGACACTCATAAAAATAGCAGTACCATATTACTCATTTCTAGAGGGGTAGGAATACATACCGGGACGAAAATTACGATTAGCAAAGATGAACAAAAAGTCCACGGGTGCCAAAAAAATGAAAGCTCATATTGGGGATGTCATAAATCATAAGCTTCTTCCATTCTTTTGAGCTCCATATGTGCTCTAAACTAAGTCATAGGCAGCCTGGAGCAACACGATGACTGCTCGAATTCTGCCTCACAACAAAATGGGAAAGGGTATAAACAGACCCTTCGGGAAGATATGACGGGAATTGCATGATGTGGTATTGTCGAACAATTGCCTCCTTGTCAACACTCTGAAACTCGAAACAAATGACACCAGTCAATGCAAACAAAAAAGAAAAGAAAATATATAAATAAAAAAGCAACACTTACATGTTTGTCAATGAACAGCATGTTAATATGTTCAATAAAATCATATAATGGTGATAGCTTCGCCCACATATGCTGAAGACACTGCGAGGGAAAGATGAAAAGAACTTTGAAAAGAGAGTCAAAGAGTGATTGAAATTGTTGGGAGGAAAGCGGATGGGGGCCGACGATGCGCCTCGATCAGATACAGAACGATGAAAGTCGGTTCGTCGATCAGCTCGGGGTGCGGACCGAGTACTCAAATTGTAGCAGACTTTTCATGGAGTTTAATTTGTGAAAGAGAGACAACAAGCATGGTGTTAATTTTGTTTGATCTGAGGTAAATTGGCGTAGGAAGTTATACACAAAGTGAAATGAAAATTAATTGTGGCTTCGGGGTCTACGGCTAGAAATGGGACGTGGGTGTCAGGGGTGACCAAGGCCAATTTCTCCTCTCTTTTGGAGGATTAGAGAAGAAGTCTGCTATGTTGCTTACTACTGCTCAATTAAATTTCTTTCTTCATATATTTTAAGGTTAATCATTTAGAAATCAAGTGAATAAGAGAAGGCTTGGGACTTGTAGCAAATAGGAGTTTAGTTGGGCTTTAGTTTTGGCCCAGGGTTGTAAGTGAGAGGTTTGAGACTTGGGCAAGTCCGTTGGGCCATGTGAAGTGGGCTTGGGTAGCATAACAATTTGTGGGCAGAGTGAGTTCGATTATTCGGTTCAGTTAATCGGAATCGGTTCGGTCATGCATACTCTGATTTCTAAAATATAGGATTTTGCTTTTCGAATTCCGAACCGAATTAATATTATCCGATTTCAATTCGATTTTAGGCTGGTTCGGGTTTACCAAATCGGTTGGCAACCCCTAGTGTGTGTGGTGGATTATTAGGGTTCTTTAGAATTCATATGTAAATTAATGGTAAATTATATAAGATACTTAAAATTAAGTTGCTTTAATTATATTAAATGTATGTATTTTTTGAAACAATATGCAAAACAAGCGTTGAGACCATTAACGCTTTTAAGTGTTGGATAAAGATCGACAGTCTACGATACCACCGGTTTAATCAAACCATAGAGTACCTTGGAGGACACTTCTGGGTCCCAACCGCCAACACACCACACACCCTACAAGCGTCGAGAAAATACGAGTTATAGTACTGACTATTGAGTACGCCTTTCATAAAGAGAGTGAAATCTCAAAATACATATGCTTTTTGAAAAAAATTTCAAAATATACATGTTATAAAAAAAATTACCAAAATACACATGTTTGGGCATCACCGCTGTTGTCAACCGCAGTGAATGCATTCACTGCGATAGGATCAAAGCAGTGAATGCATCACCGCGGTTGACCGCTGCGGTGAATGCCTGACGTAACACTAAAACTTCAAACAAACGTAATTTTTCGCTCGGTTACCGATTGTAGCGAATCTTTTTTATTCCATATAACTTTTCAATATCTTTCAATCTGCAACAAAATTTAATCTAAAAAAAATGTAGTTTGTTACCCCGAACGAGCAATTTTTCGATTTTGCCAAATTTTGGAAGACCATAACTTTTAGCTCCTTAATCCGAACATCGTAAAGTTTTTTTGATTGCGCATAACTTTTTAAGCACTAAAAATTTTACTAGGAAATAATTTTTTAAAAAATAAATTTTTTTGGGTATACGGGATTTTGGCAATAACTTTGCCTTTACTTTTCACAAATCCACATACTTTCCAAAATTATGGTTATAATAAAAGTTGTAGTCCTTCAAAAGTTATGCGAAATCAAAAAAAGTTTCATGACATTCGGATTGTGGAGCACAAAGTTATGATCTTCCAAAGTTTGTCAAAATCGAAAAATTGCTCGTTCGGGGTAGCAAACGAATTTTTTTTGGGAAGAAGGCTTATTGCAGATTGAAAGATCTTGAAAAGTTATGTGGAACCAAAAAAAAAATTCTCTACAATCAGATAACCGAGCTCAAAGTTACGTTTGTTTGAAGTTTCAGTGTTACGTCAGGCATTCACCGCGACCGTCAAACGCGGTGATGCCCAAACATGTGTATTTTGAGAATTTTTTTTATAACGTGTGTATTTTGGGAATTTTTTTTTAAAATATGTGTATTTTAGTTTTTTTTTTCCTAGATAAAGACCAACAAACCATTACGGAAACGGAGAAGTATCCAAATCAGTAACTTCTAGGATAAAAATCAGTAACGGAGAAGTATACATGGCTTGAGATGAGGTCAGTAACCGGCGGTTACTGACCTGTGAGTAACCACTTATGGGCCGTTGATCTGGGACAGAATCATTGTGTGGCTGGGATTGACGCGGGGTGGAGAAGGGCATTTTTATCCGGTTTTTTAATTTTATTTCTTGTCTTTTCTACTTTTCTAGCATTTATATTATTACTTTTACGGAGGAAAGAGAAACCATACTTTTCTCTTCCTCCCTCTTTTCTCTTTCCCTTCCTCTCTTCCTTCTCTCTTCCAAGCTCCTTTTCCCAGATCTAGATATGTTCCTTTCTTTTGTTCTTTATTTGTATATACCATATGGTAATTTGTATATACCATATGGTAAAGTGTCTATACCATATGCTAAAGTGTGGCAACGAAATGTATTTTTATCGATATCGTGTTTTACTATGGTCGTAAAGGGTTGTAATTAGATTTATATTATTTTTGTATGGTTTTACCTTCTCATACCATGTGGTATTGTATGGTAATTACAATTAATTTGTGTTCATTCGATTAACCATGTTCTACTATGGTGGTATTGTATGGTAGTTAGATTTATAATTTTTTGTAACATGTTTTACCATGTGGTGGTAGTTGGATTTGTAATTTTATTTTAGCATGTTATACCATATGGTATGATATGGTAAATAGATTTGTAAATTTCTGTAGCATGTTTTACGACGTTATACCATGTGGTATACTGGTAGTGTATGGTAGTTAGATTTATAATTTTTTTCAACGTATTTTACCATGTTTTACATGATAGTAGACAGTGATAATAAATTTCATATTTGTAATTACTGTCTTTCGCACTAAATTATTTAACGAAAAAATCACCATTTAATTTGAGTTAAAATTTGAACAAAGATAGCTAGGATGATCAGATTCATTTTTGTTGCAGATGAGAGAGAGGAAATAATGTACTTTTTCTAATAATAAAACAAAGAGTAAAAGAGAAGAGAACTAGGTGAGGTGAGAGAGTGGGATCCGCGTCAGAGCATCAACGTCAGACATCAGCGTCAGCATTAAATAGGGGTACAATTTACCCTATTACCCCCTCCGTGTTGAATTTTAATAAAAGAAAAAGGCTGACACGTGAGGTAGGGCTGGGCATGTGGGCGGATCATCCGCGGGTTTGGGCCGACCCACCCGCATTTGACCCGAATTTCGTTAAGTGGGTGGGTGACGGGTAGCGCTGGGAGCCATCCGACGGGTGGTGGGTGGGTTGTGGGTGAGTGTGCGGGTGACCCGCTCAACCCAACAGCAAAAAAATCAAAGTCGTTGGCGCTAGAGAGAGGAGAGTGGAGACGTTAGATATAAACTCGAACTGCTCCTGGAGTTTGAACCTCAAAGCCAACCTTCCAAATAGAGATCCCCTTTTCTTCCCTTAGTTTTTTCTCTAATTCTTGTGCCTAGATCACCGCTCTTTCCTTTGGGGAATTATTTTCTTTAGTTCCTTGCACCTAATAATCGTCTCAATCTGTAGAAAACTCTTTCATAATAGAATTTCTATCCAATTTAAGAACTAATTCGACATTTTTCGCCCTATTTCAACTTCTGGTTTCCCTCGATGATTCTCTTCACCTATTATCATGTCAAGTTGACTCCTTTATATTATATACATTGTGATGTGGGCGAACCCACAAACCCACCCGAATCATCCACCATCCGCCCGACCCAACCCGAGACTAAATGTGGGTGGGTGGTGGGTTAAAAATTATCAATCCGTTTAAGCGCGGGTGGGTGCATTTTATGGTCAAAATCCACCCGACCCACCCAATGCCCACTCCTAACGTGAGGGCCAGGGGAAGGGGTTACTGATGGAAGGGTTACTGAGGTGATCCGGTCCCAAATATACAAATGCCCAACTGTCAAGAGTCAAGTCAATTGAAAGAACCCAGGAAAGAATCGCTTTTAGCCGGTCTACCCGTCTCAACCTACAACGGAACATGGCTCAATCATATTAGATCGCTAGAACCAAAGCATCTACCATGACGGTAGAATAGAAAGGTTCCCGAGTCCGTCAGTCCGAAGTGCACAAGCCTTTTTGCTCGTCAGGACCTTCAACCGTCTCCCTACACAGTCAGAGGAGTGCAACAGTTCCCGTTCACAGCGAGTCGATCTCTCTTTAGGCTGTGTGATTGGATCAACTATCAAGTGCGCCAAGTGCCTTCATGTCTTCCAAAAAGGCCGAGTACGAGTCATCAACGCTCTTGCCTTTAGGCCCAACCGCTGCTGATGACGAAGGTGGTTCAGGCTTAAATACAGCAGAAACCACAGGCCTCGTCGACATTGTAACAGCTGAGGGCGTAGCCTTTGGCTTCGGTTTTGCGCCTGCAGCTGTTTCTCTCCTGACTCTCACCGATGCAGGAACCTGAATGCAAACAAAAACAAGTGAGTTTAAATGTGCCAGGAAGATTCTAATTAACGCAGACATTAGCTCTTGAGGGATTGGATCGAAACTAACCATGGCTGTAAGTTCCGGGGTGTGCTGTGCCAGCGGCCTTTTCACAACAGTAGATGCAGCAGATTTGACATAAGATGGTTTTTGGGGAGCAACAAACCTACTACCTATGTCGTGTTCTAGCATCATACCAGGAGGAGGGCCTGGAGGCAGTGGTGGCCTCATCATTGGGGGAGGTCCAGGTGGAGGACCATACGGTGGTCTTGGAATCATTGGGACCATCCCTACTGGAGGGCCAGAAAGCCCAGGAGCTGCTAGATGTGGCCGCATGCCTGGTGGAGGGGGAGGCGGAGGTGGTGGGAATCTTCCCATTGCAGGTGGTAGTAAATCAGGCTGCATGCTTTGGATCATGGGTGGTGGTCCAGGCAGTAGGGGCTGTTGCCTAGGTGGAGGCGGAGGAGGAACCATTTTTGTGCCATCCATGGCTGATGGCGGAATAACGGGATCAGATTCAGATGAATTATCGACTTCAAACTGATTGCTGGTCAACTTCATAGGCATTCCAGGTGGAGGTGGAGGCTGGAGAATGGGCACCTGAATCAAGACAGAAGAGAACATTATTACAATGTCTTCACTATTTCAAGTGAACCAATTAAAACACTCTATGAGAACCTAAAGCACAAGAGGTCCAGAATACACGGCATATCAAAGTTCACGGATTAGTACCAAGGACCAGCAGTTACTTAAGAAAACATTGACAGATGGAAATGATAATCCTGAAGCATGGAACAATATGTTCTCCAGTTCCAGCAATCTTCCTGCCAATTTAACTCCAGATCTCAAGGATATTCCATTTTGCTGAGCTCGATCTTCAACCAGTTGGCACTTGCATGGCCTCAGATTGATCAAATAATCAACTCCTATATCAAACATACCATTTAACTTCTACAATTTTCCTTTACAATCAAAATGGACCAAATTTAGGTTATCTTTTCTACATTTCTCTACTATCGAACTCCAAAAGGTCGTGTGGTCAGTTCAGACATTTTACACAACTCGCATATTTTGATATAATTTCATGCATCATAAGAAGTAAAAAAATAATGGGACCACTTATTCATTCACTCCTTTAAATAAATTTTCTTTCAACGCAGATACCCACTTCCACCATTCGCTTTTGGTCTATGGTCAACACGAAAGTAAAAGGAGAAGGAGACTCACTCACCGAAACAGTCTCCCTTGATGAAGAGTCACCCGCCAATGTGGATGAATCTTTCTCATTTTCATTATTGGTGCCAGGAGGGGGCGGTTGAAATGATGCAAAACTTGTAACTTGGTCTTCTGTCGGGGGTGGACCAGGAGGTGGTGGTGGCAAAGGTAGAGGAGGCAATGACATACCCAAGCTTGGTGCAGGAGGTTGTGGAGGAGGCGGCGCTAGAGGCATAGATGTGGTAGATACCACAGAACCATCCCCTATATCCACATCAGCCGATTCTGGCAATGGAGGAGGCGGAGGCAATGGAAGTGGTGGTACTCCCACAGCACCATCCTCTGACTCTGTCTTTGAAGATGATGCACCAGAGGTTGACCCAGCAGACAACGGAATCCGAGGACCTGCAGAGTTATAATCTGAAAGAGTGAGGCAAACAAGACAGAGATGTCATATAAATTATTGGGAAAAAGCAACGAGTGGAAAGAAACCTATAGATGATTTGTACATGGGAGGTTTTCCAGGTGGTGGAGCCCCGGTGGGATTTAAGGTAGGATGGTAGTAGACAGAGTCCTGCAATCATATGAATAGCTGATATCAAACGAAGTACTATAGCTGATATCAAACGAAGTACTATAGCTGATATTAAAAAGAAAGTACTTCACTATACAAACTATATAAGAAGCAAATTTGTAAAAGCATACCTCAGGCTGCGGGTGCTTAGCTCTCTCTTCCTCTTCTGCAGACGTTCTCCGTCGAGGAGGTCCCAAATGACTGAAGAAAAGATGTACTCTCACTATCAGATGAAGGACAAAAAATATGTACTTTCAAGTGCCAAACAAGGACCAAGGGAAAGAAAGGCTACTTTACCTGAACATAACAGGAGTCTCGCCCTTCTCCTTCATTTTGTCGTTATATTCCTAAAGATGAAGGAAAAAATTGCTTAACGCCCAAGTGTAGTAGCTCATGAAAGTATCATATATTTTAAAATCATTATATAAAGCTTAAATATTATTCTAGGTTAACAGCCCTACATTTCAGATTTCAGGATCGTTCATTCCATAAGACTTTGTGAGGGATAGATAGCATACCAGTTCCCTACAAATAAACTTGATGGCAGTATCTGAAGCCATAAAACAATCAAAGAATACTTAGATCATCCTCAGAGTAATATGCTGAAGAATATGAAATATTTGTTTTTGTTAGCAAGCTATATTATACGACATCTCCCTCAGGCAGATTACAGGACCCTCACGGGCTCCAAGGGAATGATCAGGAATACCTTCTATTGAAAAATGTTAAGAAGTTCCAGAAGCAAAAAGACAGTGATCATTTTCAAGATGGAATATCAATCATTCTCATAGAAACCACAAGGGAACTCTTCACCAGATAGTGATCATCTTTAAAATGGAATACAATCAAGTAGCATAACTCTTGCTTTTGGCCTTAGGCTTACAGGTATCCTAATAAGGAAATCAGATCAAAACTAGAAGAAAAAGAAAGATGCATATGCAAGCACATTGCGCAAGCAATATATCAGTTCTACAAAGCCTGCTATAACTTTTATTTACTTGTTAATAAACGGGTATCCCTTTCTGGAAAGTGCTTGACGAGATACTGCCACTAAGTTGACAATATGATAATACGAAGACAAGCAAGTGAATGGAGTTAACGAAAACATGAAACAGCAGAAAATACCTTTCTCTTCTTCATTACAAGAGTAAGCGTATCCTCAAGTTGCCTTTTCTTGTGCTTTCTTGCTTTGTCCAATGCACCATCAGCCTCTGCATAATAGTAGAAGAATCTAAATCAGCAGAGAACGGAAATCAAAACAAGGTCAATGACAATTTAATTATTTAAGTTACCGAAGACAAAGATGGCAGGACCAACTGAGCACCAGATGCAAATAAGTCCTTATTGGTGAGACATAGGTAAATTAGAAAATAGATTATTTCAAATTGTGAGATATTCCTTCTAAGGTTTCATCCATAAGAAGAAGAAGGAAAAAACAGAAAACCATGTGAAGGTGAAATTATGTGCATCAAGGAGACTCAGCTCTAATAATGATAGCCAAGTTCCACCATTGAGCACATCGAATCAAGCCATACTCTTCCTAATGCCAAATTTCAGTTCATAATACACCAAGTTAACCCAAAATACTTTTTTTGTCATGAAACCTGCCAACCAAACAACCATAACATTAATCTGACCCATAGTTTATCCGTGTAGTCTAAGAAACAGAACTAGTAAGAGAAACCCAAAACTAAAGCTTTAATCAATGGGTTAGTTTCAATTTTATGTGAATTATCATTGCCCCAGTGCTTCAGTGGATATTCAACAAGTATAAGCTCAGTTAAATGGCTGCCCAGATGCTCTGACATATATATTATGAATCCTTCACGAAATGAGACATGTGATAATTCATAGTTGCATATAAATATAATAACCAACATAAAATGAAAACCATCAATTGTTCTCCTCAGACAATAGGCATTATTCTAATTTGAACAACTCAGAAGAAAGAAGCAAGAAAAATATAATGAAATGAGAAGCACTTACTCATGCTTTCCAGCTTATGTATCTGATCCTTGATGACATCGGGATCTTTTTTCAAAATGCCAACCTCTCTCACCTTCTTTCTTTCTTTCTTATTCTGCTCAAAACAGGAGCAAAATGTTGGAAGCTAACTAACAAACCCCAGAAGTGCATAAGATCCATAGATTTCAAGCAAACCATGAGTAAGATTGAAGAACATCGAAAAAAGAACCATAAAAGCAGAATGACCATATATTACGATTGAAACTAATTGATGACACTCCAGTAAACCTTACACTAAGGAACAAGTGATTTACAGTCAAACAAGCATAAACATATGGCCCTCGACATCCAATAATCAGACGAAGACAAGTTAAATTGCCTCACGACAAATACTGCACAACACTGACCTTATTTTCCCCAATAGGAGAAGTGATTCCCCCAATTCTTATCCTTTCATCAAAATCTAAAGTACACTAAATACAAAAATGTTTTTTTTCTCTCTTCATTGTCGCCATTTCGCTATGACAGCACATGGCAAACTCAAAATGTGGGCAGCACAGCATAGCACTGACACCCTAAGTTAAAACTACAGAACAACTAAACTTATGTATAAGGGAGCTCCGAGCTTGGGTTGATCGAATCAAGGGCTATTAACTACAGCCAAATAGCAATTCAAAATTTCCCCCGACCCGATTCCCAGCAACCAAACGCATTCAGCTCAATTCAGATTGGAAGTAAACACTTGGGAGTCTCTGAAACACGACCATACCAAAATCAGAAGCAGAACAGCGCAAGGGAATGGAGAAATTTACCCGTTTCAATTCCTTCTTACGGAGCTCCTTACGGTAGGCATCCGTAGGGTTCATAACTTTGCCTCCCTTCGTCGTCTTCACCATCTCTCCTTCTCAATGAAACCCCTCAGGCTAAGCCCTCAGCGTCTTTGGAAGATTGTGAAGTTCCGGAAGACCAGAAAATAAGAAGAAGGGCGGGAAACGTTGTGGGATTGCTATGGAGATGGCAGAGATTACGAGTAATCGAAATCCATGAAAGGTTCGGAAGGAGAGACGTTTGCAGAAGAAACCCTCCCGTTTTCTCTTCTCCTTTTCTTCCTTCGCTAGTTCGCTTCGGCCGTCGGGTGTAATATTTGCCTTTTTCCCTTCAAAATTTTCGATCATAAATGTCGGGATTGGTTTGGGCCTTATCTACGTCAAGCGATGGACACGTCCATATAAGTCCATGTCCATCCTAGCTTAAGACAGATCCAGTTCAAGCCCATTTGCTTGAAATCTTAAAGGATCAATCAAGTCTATTCAGTTCTAAACTTCTAATCAATTGCCTACCCTTATGGTAAATGTCAAGTTTGGTCACTAAGTTTAATAAAATGTGTCATATTTAGTCACTTAAAAAAATTAATATCAATTTTGGTCACTCGAATTAGTAAAAGAGTCCATATTTAGTCACTCTCTGTTAACTTTATCTGATGTGGCAGTCAAACCGTTAAATGTATGATGTGGCAATTAAAAAATTAATTTAATTTTTTAATATTTTCACATTAAAATAATAAACAAAAATAAATAAAACCAAATTAAATCTCTGCTAATCCTGAGCTCCTCTGCAACTCTCCACAACCGCTTAGCAGATCTCTCAACCCCTTGCACATAGCGCCCGCAGCCAGCAACCCAGCCGCCGACAGCCTCCTGAGCACCTCCCACATACAGCTCGACGACAACCCCCTAGACCTCGAACCATCCATATCCATCTCGGAACCAACCACTCCCAGCTTCGGGGAGCCACATAGCACGTCGACATCGTCAAACGATAGCGCTGCAGAGGTTCGAGTTTTGGTGACAAGCGGAGGAGGACGGCGGCAGGGGTCGGGAGGAGGAGACCGAGACTACGGAAACTAGGGGGTGGGCACGTGGGTGGTTAATCCGCGGATTGATATCGATCCACCCGCAAATAACTCGATCCGCACACAGTGGGTGATTCATGTGGGTGGATTGCAGATTGATAAATCTCTCACTCGCACTTATGTGTGTGGGTGGATTGCGGGTCACCCGTATGACCAGCATCCTATTTTTACATGAAAAAATGTTGTTTCTTATAGTATAGAATATCCATCATATTTTCGAACTACACTACTGTATGACCACATACTTCAAAAGGTAGAGGATAAAGAATAGTTTTTACTAATATTATTGGTTATTGTGTTGTGCAATATCCATTGGATATTATTGGTATGTAAATTATTGTTAATATCCATTGAATATTGGGATGCAAACTATAAATTATTAATTGTATCAAAATCACAAATTATTGATACAGTCTTACTAATTTGCTATAAACTTATTATAAATGTTAATCAACTTTCTTATTGGCTAGTTGGAGAATTGTTTTGCGAGTAGACCCGTGATCCAACCGCACCCATCCGCCACCCACCCAACCCAACCCTGAGAAGTATGTGGGTGGATTGCGGGTCACAATTATTTCAACTTGCTAGTAAGCGGGTGGATCAATTTGAGACTAAAACCCACCCAATTCGCTCATTGCCCACCCCTAGCGGCAACGGTAACGGCAGAGGAGGAGGTGGCAGCAGCAGGTTAGCGCACCGCGATGAGCGAGTCGGCGGCGGCGAAGCCGCAGATGTAGTGGCAGACGTGGTCTTCTTCGGAAGGTGCATCTGCCGCAATTGTAGTTGTTGTGTTGCTTCTTGGAGTGCTTGTTGTAGTCTAATGAAGCGGTGGAGCCGCTGGGGAAATGTGGGGTTGGTGATGGTGAGGGCGAGGGTGCCGATGCGTGGCGGCGGAGTCACCGGAGGAGGAGCAGGAGGGAGAGAGAGATTTGAGCAGGTGGAAATAAAGGAGATGAGGTTTTGGATGCGGAAGGAAGGAGATATTGGATTTGCAAAACAAGAGGGTTTGGTCTCGGATTGGTGGAGATTTTTCTGGTCGGATAGGGAATAGATATTTTTGGTTTTATTTATTTTGGTTTATTATTTTAATAATATGAAAAAATTGAAAGAATTAAATTAATTTTTTAATTGTCACAACTCACATCAGACATTTTACGGTCAATATTAGGGTTGACTGCCACATCAGATATACTTAAAGGAGAGTGATTAAACATGGATCGTTTTACTAATTCGAGTAACTAAAATTGATATTAATTTTTTTAGTGACTAAACATGACACATTTTAGTAAACCTAGTGACCAAACTTGGCATTTACCCCTTATTTTGAAGAAACATTGCAACTGATTATCTTACAAAACTAGATATGGGTACCGTCCATTGACCGGATACATTTCATTATTGGCAGAACAAAAACAATACTTATTTGATGAACAAATGTTTTATTTGGTATCAGATATAGTAAAAATTATCTAACTATTGGAAAGTCAAAATTTTATATGATACATAATTTTTACTTAGTAGAATTTATCTTATCCAAGTCATGAACATTATCACTTATTCCTTCTTTCTCTCAGTTATAGAAATTTATATCTTCATCATCAACGGTCTATTCCTTTTCGTCAAATCATTTTTTATCTTCATCACCAAATACACTAAGGGGTCGTTTGGAGAATTAGAGTCTAAATCCATAGGTTCTAAACAATCCGAAGATTCTAACTCTACGGATTATTAAAAAAAATATCAAAATTTTCATTGTTTTGTAATTAAGATTTGGAACATTTAATGAAAAATTAGAATTCTAATTTGCACAAAATTACATATTTATCCTTATCCAACAAATGAAAAAAAATATATTCACAATTAATTTTCTCAATACGTTTATGCTAGCCAACTATTGTCTTTTCAAATGAAACATGTGCCTAATTACCCTAACATCCAATAACAAAAAATGACATAATATAAAAAATTGCAGCAGGGGGAAACCAATGTTGCAAGCTTCATAAAATGGGAAATATTACTTCTCAACAAGCTGTAGTTATTTTGTCTGCAGATTACAAAAATAAAAGAAGGAAACTAGTGATTCATCCCACTCATAGCAACATAGTCAACTGAAACACACCCGAGTCATAATATAGGTCACAATTCAATCAGTGAGTTCAAGGAGAAAGGTCAATGGATCATCTTTTGTTGGGAGCTGATAATAAAAATCAGTAAGTGTAACATCCTTCACCAGTACCATGGCAGCTTTTATAGCTTGCTTTCTTGTAGTTTCACAGCAGAATAGGCAGCAGCGAGTGTATAGATTTTGCAGGAGGGAAGTTGAACGGTGCTGCATCTGTTTACCGTTGTTTTGAGGAGTGGAGAGAAGTCCAAAAGAAGAAGATATATATAGAAGATGTAACCGATGGAATACAAAAAAGATATATTTGAAAAAGAATTATCTCTCAAATCAAGATACAAAATCTCTCTAATTATGAGAGATTTGATATCTCTGGATTTCAGAGATTTGAAATCTTTAAAGTTAGAATCCACGAGAAAAAAATTACCAAAAAAACATGAGTTTTTAATAAATCTATGGATACTATAAATCAATGGCTCAAATCCTTTTCTCCAAACGACCTCTAAACCCTAAAAACAAATGTAATGTTTTGATGGCGATTAGTGTCAGGTTTGATCTTTGACTCTCATCAAAGGAGGTGTGCATCTCCATCACTTTTATCACAATATAAACTCATAATTTATTTTGAGAACTCCAGATTTATAATACACAACAATATTCTTTGATTCAAGTGACAAGAAGCTTGAGTGGAAGATAACATGCTCTAGGATAGTATCACATCTTGTCTGAAACATTGTTAATACTTTAGCTTTATTAGCAACTACTACGGGTACAGGTACTGGAACCCACAAGGCCAATCTTAGCGGCTAACTCGGAAGTGTTGAGTTCTTATAGAACGGCGAATGCAAACCAGCGAACCCGGGGATCACGAACATAGGGAATCGAATCTCTCTTAATGTCTTCTAACGCATTCTACTAATCTTCGATCACCCTACAGTTAACAACAAGGAGAAAGGCAAAGGCTTTGATTCCTGAACCTACCATTGTGCCATCCTGCTCTACAAACTACAAAGAGAAGACAGCTCCCATGCTTTCATAGACATCAAGAACATCAGATAATATCCGCCTTAATCTTTATATAGGTTGCCCCTCTTCTTCTCTCCTAGCTATCAGAATAGGAATTGCTATTCGTGGAAGAAAACGAAAAAAGGAGATATTACGGAGGAACGTCTTTATCAGAATATTTTTGCTTCTCACTTCGGGCAATTAGCAATAATTTTTCTCTGGACTTCCCATCTTCCCCACTTGATTCAGCTTGAAAGCGAAAAAGAAGCGACTTGAACACATCCTTCAGCGGGAAGCCCGATGGAATGATTTCACGCCCTAAGAAGGAGTCACGCAAAGAGAAGAGGTTGCTTCATTTCGTAAGAATTATTCCTATTCCTAAACCTAAACTTGCTCACTACCCTTACTGAGACGGCTTCGCCCGGGGAACGCTCGACCGTGAGTCCCAAGGTAAAAGGAACGAAGTCACTCGCATTTTAATTAAAACAAGTAGGGAGAGGAACGAAGCAAATGGGGTCCGGCTCTATGAGCTCCTGGGCAAGTTTTTTTTTTTTTTTTTGCAGTTTCAATATTATAGACATGCAAAAATGGGAACAACGCTTTCTCGAACATGGTAGTCTATGTTTTTCATCCACCCACTTGTAATTGTTGCAGTAATTGGAAGAACATTTTCTTAGTGGACTAATAGTGGATGGAAGTAGGAATTGGGCTTGACACATGTAAAGTGGGATTGACACATACAAAGGGAAACATCATATAGTAGCCGGTCCCAAGCAATTCCAGATGAATTGAGGCGAGTGATACATGTATTATCTTTTTGTTAACCAAACCACAACTTTAAGATTTTTTTTGTTAATTGCCATTAAAGCGGCTGTTAACTTGTTAAGTAAATGAAGATTATGTCCCATCATTCTAAAATGGGTTAATAGCATAAATTGCCCCTTTACTATTGCATTTTTTCAAACCTGCTCCTCTACTATATTTTACGTTGAACTTGCCCCTATACTATTATCACGTTCTCAAAGCTGTCCTTTTGTTACATTTTCCATCCATTATTCATTAACCATGGTCGAACCAGATTCAGATTGGGTTTAATTGACGCTTTTGCCCTTGCTAATTAAAAACAAAGGTTAATATCATTTTATACT